GTAAATAAACCCCAAGTCCACATCTGATTAAAGCAGATATATGGGAGGTACGAACAGGACTGGCCAGATGCTAGACCATATGATAAACACCAAGGATCATGGCATCATATAAAACTGGGCATTTATGTGGTACAGCTGGCTGTGCATAATCTTCTCCTAATTTATAAGGCTGGAGCATCTGGTCCATTGCTGTTGGTCTATCAGCTTTTCCGGAGTCCTGTTCCTGAATTTCTGGTAGTTGTGTGCCGCTCTTCTGAGTGCTGGTGGAAAGAAAGTTAAAGCCATTTACGGTGGGATGTCAGATCTCACTCCATCCAACAGATGAGATAACGTTCAGCCACTGTCATGAAAGAAATAAGGGCAGGTCCTTGTGAGACAGGCTTCACTTCACACGAAGATCAGTAACTGCAAACTCTAAAATACACAATATTTGTTTCTCATTGCAGGACCCTGAGCCGTGACACAGTGACTTGGCCAGATGAGGCCATTGCGACAGGCCATGCCCATGACTGCAGACATCCCCCAGTGACGCGGCAGGCGAGGACTTACAGAATAGGTTGCACAAGTCCTGCTTTTGTTACGCTGCTTAGGCTTCCCCCCGCCCATGCCACAGCCAGCATTCATTTCTCTTTCCTGAAACAGAAGCTGGCATTTGGCACGTTGTTAGAAAATGCTCTGTATGTGACTGAAAAAAACCAAAAGTGTTTTCAACTGGTCCTTGAAAACTTACGGCCGGAAAGAGTCAAGCTGACAATGTAAAAGCGTCCTGTGCTGAGTGGCATGCATGTGTGCCAACCAGCATGGAGCCATGTGCCACCCCAGGCAGCTCTGGAGAGGTGGACCTGCAGCAGATGGTCTCTTTGTGGCCTCAAAGAGGAAGAAGGAGGGCCAGAGCTCACTTTTCCAGGTATTTCCAACTGGCAAGAAAGCCCCAGCTGTAGTGTAGAGCCTGGAAGGGCTCTTCCTCTGTTCCCTGCTCATGGAGTCATAACCAGCAGTGCAGCACACAGGCTACGGCACCACTGGAGTTGTTTTCGAAAACTACAGTGTTACCAATGCTATCTAGAAGCTGTGGGTGCAGATCACCCAACTGGCATATGCTACAGCAAAGTAATTCTCCCTGCGGAACCTCCATCCTGCGAGGCCGGTGGAGGATGTCTTGGGAACATGCGACTACCGCTGATTGAGGAGAAAAAATACAGCACCAGGCATTTTACCAAACCCTTCTCCAGTAATATTACATGTCAGAGCAGAGCTGAAAGGAAATTTGCATTTCAAATGGAAAGAGGAAATTGGCTTTTGCAGAACATCGTGGGGTTGGCAGTAATAAATCCTGGTACTGTCAGAATGGAAGTGTGTTGTTCCTGCAACTCTTGCACTGCTTTCCGTAAGCCTGTGTTGTTACTGAGAAAGTGAAATCTGATTAGCAAATATAACAGTGTAAGACTTCTTGAGACCTTTTATTGTTTTTTCCTGGTATAAGTGCAGCACATTTTGTATAATTTTATTGAATTGAAATACTTTCAGGTTTCCATCATTTCCGTACATCCACAGCATGGAAGCTGCTGTATTTCTAGCCAGGTCTGAATGCTACAGGGACCCCTATGGCTTTGCTTGTTCTTATTTTAATGTCGTCTTCAAGATTTGAGAGCCCTAAACAGTTTCATCCTCTGTATCTGACATGGACACAGCATCCAGCATTGTCAGAGTCAGTTCCCTGACTAGGGTTAGTAGATGTTACCTTAATGAAGTTTTATCTTTGTGTAACAATGGCAACAGGAGTTGCCCTGAGGAAACAGGTGAATTTGAGGAAGAACTTGAATTACTGCAGATCATGTTTTCAGGCTGTGATAACCCACGAGTGGATGAAGTCACCACTGCTGAAACATAAGACGGGCTATTTCTTAATAGTTTGTCTGAATGGTTTTATTGTGGTTCCGCCCGGTGCAAGAGGGGTGGTGGTGCAATGCTGGATCTGAGACTCGTCACGGCACTAGGTACTATACAGAGATCTAGTAAGGCCATTTCCCAAAGAAACTTACCTCAATTAAGCAACTGTGTGGTATGGGTGGAGAGAAACAATTGGAAGAAATGAGAGGGGAGCAAAAAAGGAAGCGTGGTGAAGGAAACCTGGTTTTATAGACTAGACATGTGGACACAGCTAGATGCCTGCAAGTCTAGTCATTCAAATGTATCATGTGTTAGAATCAGATAGTGGAAATATTTAATAAGTAGTGCCCTCTTTCATTTTGGTGAAGGTGAGAGTGACCAGCATTCACCTGCTTAGGCACAGGCTCCTCCCAAACGCCTGCTGCCAGCATCCTGATGCTGTTCTCAGCAGTGCTGCCTTCAGGTGAGGTATTAGTGTCAGACCATGAAAAATGCTTTGCAAGTGGCTTAAGGGAGCTCAAGGTCTGTTACTTAAACTGAATCAGTCCACCTTTGTTATGCAAATTAAGGGAAAAGTGGATAGTGATTATGTAGCAGGGCGCTCCATTTTTCCCAGTGCTTACTTTGCCTCTGGCCCACTCTTACCTCCTCTCATTTAATTTGCAATAACAGAATGCAATTAAGTATTAAGATTCTCATTAGTTACAGACTTTGCAGATGTGGAAAAGCCACTTCCTCTCTCCATCCTGGGGTGGCTTAGTGGGTATCTACGCAGACCTTGCCCAGGAAATCTTTTCCCTTATGAAATGAAGACTCATAGGAGTAAAATCATTAGAAACCACAGGTGGTGGTCAGCATCCATTCATCGTTTACTGTGAAACGGTTGAGATAGAGGTCTTTTCCATTTAACTGTCCATCATGGGCTGACAGTAAGCATCTTTTCTGTTTCAGTTTAAGTGAGCTCTTGCTTAATCACATATTGGTTTCATTATCAGAAATATTATGTTGAGGGCACTATGAAGACCTCCTGAGTGTGGGGTATGCTCCTGGACTATACCATTCTTTTCTAAAGAAAGGACGCATTTTACATCTTCTGTTGCAATTTTTGTTGTAGAAGAAATAAAATATCTGAAACTTCTATTTTATAAATTGTGTTTGAATTCCAAAGCTTAAAATAGAAAACCCCTAAAAACAATCTTAAGGATGTTTTCACAAATGCTTTTTGCCTTTGGTTGTGGGTTGTTTGTTTTTTTTTTTTATTACAGTACATGACTATTTCCTTTCTAAATGCAAATATAGACTGTTTTAAATTGTAATATAGGACATACAAAGTATCCTTGGCCTGTGTAGCATAAAATGATTATGATTAATCAAATCATTGAATGCAGCAAAGGTTAATTGAAAAAGTATCCAAGTACGTGTTCTAGACATAGACCACAGATGTTGATTTACAGCTGAGTTGTGATGGGAGGCATCTTCCACCATTATTCCTGTAACTGGGAAGAGAAAGAGTATTGCTGCTGGAGTGCACATTTAAGCTGGATGGTATTCAATTTAACTGAAAATGCAACACATGCCATTTGCCTGCATCCCTCATATACCTCTGCAGGATGTTCAGCAGTCCAGCTCTAACCTGAGCTTCCAGCCTTTTACAGTACTGGTAAAGCAAGCATTAATGCAGGAGAATCACCTAGAAACCAGCACCCTCCTTAGCATAAACCCATTGACCAGGTCTCAAGAGAGACTAACACTATGCTTCATATTATGAAACAGAAGAAAGAAAGTCTCCTACAGTTAGGGTACCAAGCTGAGAACAGAAGCACAGGTTCAAACTTTGATGCTTTTCCAGTTTTCCCATTACCCCTAGAAAGGGCCCAAATCTGAGCTTGCTAAAGCCAATGACACTGAAGTCAACTTTGCCTTAGGTCTTTATACACTCTGTGCCTTGGCACCTGCAAGGCAGGATTGACAGTAAATCTCTCTGCTGGTCATATGATATGTGAAGACTAGTGATTCAGGTAAGTAAAGAAACAGATTTTTCAGACTAGCTAATTGAGCTAACTCTTGCATTTTGGCCCACAGAAACTCGTTAAATTTGGTGACTGATTTATTTTTAAACACGTTACACCTGAAGAGTGGCCATGAAAAGAGGATAGGCTCATTTGAATTAAACACATCAGATAAATCTCTGAACAGAATTGCAGAGCTTGCAGTGAAATTACATGTTAATAAAGTTGGAGGTCACTCATTTTCCTAGTTAATTATTACCTGACAGCAGTAAAAACTGATGAAAACAATACTATGTATAACTGTTTATAGAAAGGGAAGAGGGAGGTGTTTCTGAGGACTGTGCCAGCACACAAATAATTATCCACATCATTCCTCTAATCTCCTTAGTGTTATCATTCTTACCTAGAGTGAAACTAGCTAAGAACTAGTGAAACTAGTAAGAACTCGGGCTAATATCGTCATATGAGATGGCAGCTTTTATGCTGCACCTTTTTTTCTCATTTTGAAGAGTATCTGCCTTGGGTGAGGGGATAGCTCTTGGCTTCCAGAGCTATTTCCAGTTTCAGCTGGTGACTTACCTGTTGCGGAGGTGCCAGCCTTGTCACTGCAGCACGGTGCATTGCCTGCTGCTGTAGGCGCTGCTGCGGTCCAGCATTGGCACGTATGTTTTAGCCACGATGCAGTAGCTGACTCCAGGCCTCAAATCTTCTATTTTGATAACCTTGTCTTTTCCTTCATATGCCAGGACTCTGTGTTGCTTCAGACAGAGCAGAGTAAAAACAGCCAGTCAAGCTCGTTGCACTATCAAATGTGTCTGTGACTAAAGTTTGATAAGAACAGAGGATGCAGAGCAGCACATGGACTTGCACAAAGTCAGCAACATCAATAATTTATTTATGATTTTAAAAGAAAATTCATAGAGTCATAGAATGGTTAGGGTTGGAAGGGACCTCAAAGATCATCTAGTTCCAACCCCCCTGCCATGGGCAGGGAAACCCTCCACTACACCAGGTTGCCCAAAGCCTCATCCAGCCTGGCCTTGAACACTTACAGGGATGGGACATCCACAGCTTCTCTGGGCAACCTGTTCCAGTGCCTCACCACCCTCTGAGTGAAAAATTTCTTCCTTAGATCTAATCTTAATCTGCACTCTTTCAGTTTAAAGCCATTACCCATTACCCCTTGTCCTATCACTACACGCCCTTGTAAGAAGTCCCTCTTCAGCAATTCCCTCCAAAATTCCCCTCCTGTCCCTTTTTTCTTTTACCTAGGCCTTAGAGTATCAAATACTAAGTTGATGGGAAAGAATAAAGGGGAGAATTACAACTCAATTCAAATGCAGTTCCTGCAAAATAAGCCTACTTTGTATTCAAACACTTACCATGTCATTGATGTCCTCACAATTCCAAAAGGATATTTCAACTGTTAAACAAGAATGATGTACCCATACTTTCCTGGCTTTTCAGTGGTAAAGGGTTCATATTTGAATATGCACTTACCTCATCTAGCAAGTTGTTAGTAATGAAGACTTGATATAGCAGATCATAATAATTCGTCATCGGTATCTTGCTACCTCTCTTCCTTTTATAAGGAGAACGTGGAGCCTGGAGCTTTAGTATTATGGATTTGTTGCTGTGACTCACAGTTACTGTTGGAGGTCCTATCATAGCTAAGGAAAAAAACAAAGCTGTGGCCACAATTGTGGTTTCTTAATAGCGTTGCACAGAACACAACTGGAATCCATTCAACAATATAATCTTCTTGTTAACAATAATATATTGTGCTGTATTTATTGTTAAAGTGCCATTTTGTAAATCCTTACTTCTTGGTGCTTACTGCTTGGGATATTTTGGGGGTAATGTTTCCTGTGTTTGTGAATCTACCTTTGAGACAAACTTTTGAAAACTCTCAGAGCTGCATGGTGCTCACTGCAGGCTGACCAAGCGACATGCTTTGGATTCTTTGCCCTGATTTTGTTTGGGTTTTTTCCATATTTATCTGTGTGCTTGGACTGCATAAAACAGATATTTGAACCATTTCAGTTATGCCAAGGATTCAGCTTCAATCCTTACTTTCAAGTTTTTTGCAATGTGCTTGGTTAAACACAGCTAAAGGTTCAAGCTAGTGCCTGCCTACCTGTGCGTGCAGCCCCAGAGATGTGGGGAGACAGGACAGCAGCTGCCCCATGCGTCTCTTGAGGAGGAGGAGGTGGCACAGGGCAAGATGATCTGTCGCTGCTTCAAGGTGTTGCTTTATGTCAAAGCTTGTGGTTTCATCTGTACAGGAGGCTCAGGGTATTTTTCACTTCAGGGCTGTGAAGTGACACTTCACATTGACATTCACAATACAATTTTGCATTGACCAGTGAGGGAAAACTGGTTAATTCAGGGAACTTACTGGTAGGTACACTGGCACTGTTTTGACAGTCCTCCAATTTCTAACATACGATGGCATTATAACGACTGTACTAACTAAAAGCTTTGCACATGTCCTTTCTAAATACATTGTGGTCAGGAAAACACATAAATGAGAGACAAATGGTGGCCACACAGCTCTCAGTTCTCTTCTCCCTTTTTCCCTCAAAGCAGAGAATGTTTCCTTTTTTTCCTACCTTGTGCCCGGTCCTTCCGGCAGCTCCAAAACCAGCCGAAAATAATTTGTGTAGTTCCATGCCTTGTGAAGGGGTTGTGTTAAAGGGAGCCGGACATTTTTGATCCCATAATTATAGATAAGTGGCTACTTACACATAATTGATTGGCATTCAAGTGTGGGAAAAATTACTTTATTGCAACCCTTCTACCTACAAGCTCTTGAGTCGCAACTTCTTTCGGTACAGCTTTGTAGCTAGAAAAGGATTACTCATGTCTGAAAATTGTGAGCAGAAACGATGTATTCCACGCCGCAGACAATCCAATTCTTTTCTCAGAGAGACCCATATGTTTGTACTTACTTTCTCGCCAGGGAGTGAATCTGCAGCTGAGGCTCCAGTCGGAATAGACGCCAGCTGACGCGGCTTTCACTCTGCCGTAGTAAGGCTCTTGGATGTCAGAGATCTCATTCGTAAGGTCACAGACGTGGTTTTGAATCCCCCAGCAGTCGTCTTTGTTTTGCCATGTGCTCTGTCCATACCTATGGAGAAAGAGGAGGAAGGATGTGAGCTTTAGCTACGGCCAACCGGATCTGCACAGATTTTTGACCATCCGTTTTAATTAGGTGGTATGGACAGGCATTTTACTCTGGGAATTAACTCTCTTCTTCAACTTGATGGTAGGGAAGATTGATTTGATGGGCATTTGGGAGCTACAGGTTTCTGTCTTTTCTGAAAGAAACCTAAAGCGGAGACTTGGGTCACCAGCCCTGTGAGAAGCTGCTGCACGCTTAACCCCAGTTAAGCTGGGGAGCTCAGGCTTAGCCAGCATGTTTAATGATGGGCAAAATGTTGGTTTCCAACAACTGATTTCTCAAAGGTGATTTTGGGAGCTCAGCAGGCATGCCAGGGACTGAAGCATGCCTCCTCTGAGGACCAGCCCTGAGCGCTGCCTCGAGTTTGCCGTGCGAAGCACCCTGCAGCGCTGCTGTGGGCGAGGTGGGCCACCGAAACACCTTAAACGTCCTGTTGCAGAAGTACCTGAGCCGGTTCAACCTGCTTTGGGCAGGTGATTCGACCCCATAACCTCCAGAGTTCCCCTGCAAATCACATTTTTCTGCAGCTCTATGGTGCAATGAGGGTGCAGAGCATCTTGCTGGGGTGCTTGTTCCCTGCCTGCCTCGGGCTGCTCAGCTGCACCTTACGGGCTACTGGTAAGCACAGAAACAACCAAGCAGGACGTGGCGGTTCCCCAGGTGTGGGGAGAATATCCCGTGTCACCTGAGCAATCCCTTTGACGTGCCAAGCAGGGACGAGCCCCAGCCCAGCAGGAGGCTGGAATGCCCCTGGTACTTACACTTTATACTGCACAAAGTAGACGGTGTCTCTTGCCTCTCTGGCCCTCCCAGGCTGCCAATGCAAAGTGCTGTTGAAGTTTAACGAACGAAACCCTACCTTCTGTGGCTTAATCGAATCTTGTAGGTCTCGGTTTTCCAAAACTAAAATCGCTGCAAATAATAAGGAATGATAACATAAGGAGTTTGTCACGGACACGCTCTCCCGTATTCAAACTGGTGGGGTATTGCTACAGAGCATTTGGCTTCAGGGAAATTTAGCAGACTTCAGGGAAATTTAATCTCCTGGATCTCATGTTCAAAACTTTCCGAGCCACAGTGACCAAATCTAGCAGTTATAGAACAAACACATTTAATATTATGAAAGGAATACTTTTATGTGGTTTGTTTTTTCTTTGTTTTGTTTTTTATTTTTTTCATTTTTCTTCAGGGAGTTTACTGCTGTGAAAGATGCCTGATGGACATCCCAGGAAACAAACCCTTCGGGTCAATTCACAGAGCCTGTGATAAGCAGCCACATCAGTAGTACAAGTCGAGTGCTCTCATCCACATCTCAACGTTAACCTACAAGGACTACAGCTGTTTTGACAGTTGCCACAACTGTGTTTATCAGCCCTTGCCTAATAGAAAATAACCTGAGATTCTCTGCTTTTTAGCTGGAAAAAGCTGCCTGACAATTTTCAAGATAACTTGTTTTCAAACTGCTAACATTTTTCTGGGGTTTGTGACCCAGATGACTTCTATATTACTGCAGCTTTATCCCTGGCATATCACAGAATCCAGTAAGACTTGTACTAATTGAACTGAAACTGGCAATACAGCTATGGATAAATTCAATGGGCAACGTGCTTGCTTTAGCTGCATTTCAGAACCTTGAAAGATAAAATAACAGACTAATTTGGAAATGACAGGACTTCTGAAACCCACCAAAAGATTCAGAGATTTCCTGACTCATCCAGAGATTCAATAACAGATCTAGTGCCCCCTCCCCACATAGGAAAAGAGCAGAAAGCCTTTACTTACCAGTTACCTCATCCTGAAGCAGGTGCATCAGTAAGCAGAGGGAGGAAAGCGTGATCCCCCTCATGCTTAGGAGAGCAGCTCCATGACTGAAGAGCAGCTCTCTTCCTCTTGGTCATGTCTTACAAGGAAGTAATTGTTAAACGCTTCAGAGTTCCCCTTGTTTGCAGTGGTTGCCAAAATCCCCTGTTTGGCTTTGGTTTAATGCAGCTGAAAAACATGAGAGTTGCTCTAAATTAAACATGAGCAATTGTTTTTACTTGGCAGCTGTGGTCACTCTGAAGTTTGGAACTAATTATGAAGCGAATCAGCACGAAAAAGGTCCTTTTTTTATTAGGCACTAATTCCTAAATGATGTCTGGCAATATTGCTTTATCCCATAAATTTGTCCACACAAGCTTGCTTGCCTGCCACGCTAAGACTTTGATTTATTTATTAGCTCACCAGTTGAGCTGAAGAGCTCTTCAGAGCTGAAGAACACAAGAAATTTTGATGTAAACATATAAAAGACCTACCTGTGGGATGTCGTCTGAGTTGGTGGCCTGTCTTCGGGTCTAATGCAAGCGGACGGAGTTTGCCAGAGTGTTTTGGGCAGGGCATCATCTAGGCATATGTCATTGGAGGAACGAGGGGCTGTGAAATTGCTGCCAGCTGTGCTGCTGGGCTGCTCGTCCACACCACGCTGGCTGCTGGAGAGGTGTTGGGAGACCAGGGCAGCCACGGCATTGCCAGCCCCTGGGCAGGGAACCGGGAGGTGAGCCCAGCCCATAGGGCCAAAGTGCCACTCTGCGTTGGACTTTCAGACTGCCAGGAGCCATATGCCCCAACTGGTGCGGAGGTGCTGTGATGCTGCCTGCACAGATACTGGTGTTTGTTGCCGCTGTTCCCCACATCCTGCCTTTCCAACACGTGCATCCCTGCGAGCCTCACCCCATGGCTGGGAATGTGGGGGCTCCCCGATGAAAGCGATCTCACTTTGTGTTTGTAATCTCTTCAATGCCACATGCACACCTGCCCGGCAGGAGCTGGGTTTCATGCTCCTGGGATGTACAGGAAGCTCAGCTGAGTTGGTCGCTGGCGGTGAACGCGGTGCCGCTGGAGGCAGCTGGGAGCCTGCTGGCCCTCCTGCCCAGCCTTGCCCCTCATTCCTCCCTCCCCGAAAGTTCCCCGTCGCTGACAGCCAAAATACTTGGCCGCTTGCACACCAGTGCATCTGGGCGAAAGTCAGGATACATTCTCCTTTTCCAAGCTCACATCAACAAGGAAGAAAAGAAAACCCAAATTTTGCATGCCTATGTAACTACGCCCACCAAAGAAACAATGGACGTGAAGGCCACCTGGCTGCAGAAACAACAATTTGCCCAACAACCACCTTCACCGTGGAAAAAGGTGAGAGCAAAACACCTGTCAGGTCAAAAGACTGCAAGCGCTGGTTCAAATTAAGGTATTTTGTTATTTAAAGGCAACCGGTCGTATTCAGCAAATTGCACATCTAATCAAGAGCTGGCCTCAGTCAGATCCATGGTCACACGCTCTCAGTCCAGCTGATCACCTCTACCTCATTATCCAGGCACTGAACCTGCAGCAGACCTATTAAAACACTAAATGTGTAGCTTTGAATAATTAACTAGTTAGCCCAATTAAGGGAATTAAAGAACTGAGAAGAAATTGCAGAAAAGAACTCAAAATGAAGATAGAAGGCAGAAGGGCCACCCTGCCATCATTGGCTGGGAATTTTTTATCTATCCATTTCCCAAACACATTTTCAAAATCCGATGACCTTTAAGTAGTTCCCCACACCAAATGCAATTAGTATTTCATCATGTTATACGAGCTCAAGTGCGGGAATAGGGAACTTCTATAAACCAATCACCAGACTGAAACGTCATCCAAGTTTAATCACCACGCTTGTCAGAGGTGGTGTATTTGCTCACTTGAATTGTACCAACACACCTTCCCATACTCTGAGTAAGAGCCCGCTGCCAGGACCCGAAGCGTGGACCTTTGCCAGAAGAGCTTTTGATGGTGGTTCCTCCTATGAACGCAGCCCGCCTGGCGCCAGTGGGTTTCGCTCAGAAAAGGCTGCTCTGGGATGTGGTGGAACAGGGAGAGAAACGCCTATCTCGTGGAGAACCGGAGTTTCCCGCGTGCTGCGCTCCGATTGTGCTTTATCTGCCACCGGGCTCGGCAGTCTGAAGTAATCAGTAACTCTGCACATCATTTTTTTTTGTGATTATTGAAACAGCTGCTGGTAATCCCCAGGTTATTAGCAGCTGTAATGTTGTTGTACTCATCGACTTCAGCCATGCTGTGTGTGATAAAAACAGCGATGGCCAAACGAGCGCCGGCTATGCACACGTGTCTATACAGACATGTGCATGTCTAGAGTTTAACAGAACACATATATAGTCCGTGGGAAAATGGAAACATTCGAGGAGCATGATGGGACGACATGTGCTGCTATGTTATTTAAAATATAAATGAGAACTTTTAAAAACCAGCGCTGTTTAGGAATACTCTGGACAGTACTTCATGAAGAAATGGAAAATGAAAACGTATTCCTTTCCCTAGCAGAGTCCACGTAAGTAGTTATGCTGTTAGCTCATCCTAGCTTACACTGAAGCATCTTTTTGATCCCAGCCTTTGTGGAACAGCAGTGCTGATGTTTCTGTGAACAGACACAGAACCGTGGGCATGAGAATTTTTTCCTTTCCTGGAACAAAAACCTATCCAAATGCTGGGCAAACAGATTTCTTTCTCTTGAGGATTGGATATTGCTACACAGAGGTGAAAGTCAAGCACATTCTTGCTGGAAGCTGCTTTTCTGATAGCACCACCTCATTAGGTTTGGGTTTTTTTTCTTTTTCCCTTGAACTAGTTGTTTCCCAACCATAAGAGGAAAAAGTTTAACCCTGGAACTGCTTCTGCAACACCACCTTTGGAGTTTCAGATGTGAGTCACCCATATTTGCAGTGGACGTGAGGGTGAGTTTTGATTACACGCCTGGATGAGGGCACAGGAAGATGAAGGACCGGGAGAAACTCCTGAAGGATACAGAGAATACTTCTAGTGACTGGCAGAGGCCAGACAAGCCTCTCTCATGCATGGCATTTCACAAAAATGGACAATTAAAAAAATGAGTGGTTCAGATTATTCTGGACCCAAAGTCTATTCTCAATTGGAGCAATAGTTTTCAGGTTTTTACCCTCCTAAAACATCCAGCCAGCATGGATTCACAGAAAAACCTGTCTTGGGAGGGGTCTCTGGAGGTTGTCCACTCCAGCCTGATGCTCACAGAAGGGCTAATGGCAGTGTTATTCCACACTTAACCACTTTCAGCATGAGTTTAACCCCTGTATATCTAAGTGGGATTCCCCCACTGTAACTTAGGACAGCTGCTTTTTGTGTTTTGGTTGGGGCTACAAAGTCTTCTCTTTTCTGCAAATGTTTATATACTTTGGTTGGGGCTACAGAGAAAAGTCTTCTCTTTTCTGCAAATGTTTATATAGTTGTCAACTGCAGTTAGATCCCATCATCCAGCCATCACCTCTCCCAGCAGAAGGGACCCGGCTCCCTCAGCCTCTTCTGGTGTGTCACAGGAGGCAGAGCAGCCCTTCACCAGCTCAGTGCAGACTGGGAAAATGAATCAGTATGCACACTCTCCCATCCCCCCCAAAAAGAAAAAAAAAAAAAAAAGACAGAGAGAAACACCCCCCCGGTCAGGCAGGAGGGACTTTCAGGACTTTTTTTCCCTGCCCTTCGGGGAAGAGGCATTGCATCACAAGGTTCCGACAGAGAAGTTTCTGAGGAAGCAAGGCTGACTTTCACCGCGCAGTGCGTGCCTTCACTGGTCCCACAGGTACGAACCGTTCAACTTGCACTTACAGTGCCCGGGTCAGCATTTTAAAGATTACAGTTAGAAATTCCCAATGCCGTAGCTGCACCTTGATAGTGAGACATTTGGACGTACTAAAGATTAAGATCCGCTGAAGGCTCGCTGTGTAGCAAGTCACTATTTGCTCATATAATATTTATTTAACGACGTGCAGGACACTGAATTGCACCAGAA